TTTCAATTTTTACTTCAGAGCTGAAAATTTAATTTATGTGTGGAATTTTTTTTTTTCTAATGTTTTTTGTCATTTTTTTATTGTGTGTTTGTTTTTTCTAAAAAAGAAAGAACACCAACCTTTCGGTAGCTGAAGGATAACGTCGAGTTAGGAGATAAATTTTTTGGCCCCTGAAGCTTTAAAAAAATGTTTTTTTGTTGTTTTTTTTTTGTCGATTTACATTTTTTTTTTTTAAATTTAATTTTATTATTTTTTTTTTTTTGTTTTTTAATTTAATTATATAAAATTTTATATTTTCCAAAAATTTTATATTATAGAGACAGAATGAGAGAGAGAGAGAGAGAGAGAAAAACAAACAAAAAAATAATTTTTTTTTTTTTTTTTTTGTGAATGAAGAGAGAATAATATAATTAATATTATGTAAGAAATGAGTAAAAACAAAGAAATTATATAATATATTTTACATATAGATATACAAATAAGAATAATTATGTAAAAAAAAATTAAAGAAAAAAATCTTATACAATATATAACATATTTATATATAACATAATTATATATATAATGTTAAAAAAAAAAACATTTCCTTTTAACAGAAAATAAATATTAAATATATAGAATTACATGTTAAAATTACATTATAAAATTTATATCATATACTATATTGAAATTTATATATATATATATATATATATATATATATATATATCATATATATATATGATATATATATATCATATATATATATATATATATATATGATATATATACATCATATATATATCATATGTATATATATGATATATATATATAGTATCGAGTATATTTATATATATATATCATTAAAATAAAATTATATAAAATAAAAATTATAACATTGATGTAATTTGTATATATTAATAATTACTGTTAAAATATTCATAATAATTTTTTATACTGTATACCATTTATTGTATATCAATATATCTCATATTATATAATATGTGAATCCTTATAAGAATAATTTGAAAAAAAAACAATCAATAAAATAATAATAAAAATAGAATATTAACCTCATATATTTTACCCCTAATTTCTTATATATTATTTGCATTTAATAGTATATGAGATGCAATATTAAATATACATGTATTAAAACATTATAATATTATGTATATACACTTAAGTAAATCTTGAAAAAATATCCTGAATAATCATTGTAAGGATAATATGATAAGAGTTCGTAAAATCCAAATGTATCTATATAGTATTCTTTTGATATTACATTTATATTATTGCTAAATGTTAAAAATGATAAAGATATTTCATATAGACTTCTTATTATTCTTCAATTAAAATTCAAAAATAATGCAAAGTATATAGAATATATGTATATAAGAAAATAAATTCTTACTTTCTGAAAATTATAAAATATACCAGAACAACCCAATCATGGAACTACAGGTAATTAAGAAAATTTAAATAAAATATTGTAAGAAAAATATTGGTTAAAATAGCTCCTTTTTTTTTGTAATTTACACAAAACTTTTGAATTATTTAAGTTTAAACTTAAATTAATGTTATTTTAAAATCAAAGATAAATTTTCTGAAATAGAAATCAAAAAATTTAAAATGATATTTTTTTTTAATTTATTATAAATTTTCTATGATTCATGGAGAATATAAATTTCCTTTATTATTTTAAAGTTTAATTTGTACATTATTTTTTTTTTATAATTTAATTTCAATTCACGAGTTGATTTTTAAAATTTAATTGTAATATAATAAACCCTACAGCAAATTTTTCTAAAATCTAGATTCAGCAAATTCATATAGTAGAAATATACAATATTATCATATTGTAGAGAGAATTCTATAAAAACAGAGTAAATTTTACAGAATTTTGAGAAAATAGATTATCAATTTCAATGAATTCTGTTATACCAGTCTACAATACAAATAAATTATAATAAATTTAATATAAATAATATACTTTTAAATTAAAATATTAAAATATAATTAAAATTAATTATGGTTCAGTTAAAAAATAAATTCATTTTTTTTTTTTTTTGTAAACCCTTAACAGCAACACCTATGAGAGAAGTACCTATATTTATATTTGTATTAAAAAGAACATTTATTAGTAGAGCAAATTCGACTTAATAATTAGACATAGATTTTTTTTTTTGTCAAATATTATTATTATAGTTATTAAATTGTTAGTTAATTATTAAGTCCAAATTGTTAGTCAAGTCAAAATTTTATTTTATTTTAAATTTTAGTTTCCTATACCCATTTGTACTATATATTAATTGAAATAAATTTAATAACACGAAATCTATGTAAAAATTTTAATTCTTTCTTTAAAAATTTGTATTTTATTAAAAAAGAAAATTATGCAAAATTAAAAGTTCCTAGGAAATTGGCGGTATTTTCTTGAAAATTATCAAAAATATTAAAATAATTATTTTGAATTTTTTTTTTTTAAATTTATTTTTAATTATTTTTTATCCTAAATTCTCCGCAATTATAGCTGTAAATTCCATAAATTAATTTATAATTTAATTTAAATAATATTATAAATTTAATATAATTAAAAAAAAGAAAATAAATTAAACCAATATTAAATGAAAATCTTTTATTTTATTATTGTGGAATTTGTTTTTTTTTTCGTACACCATTTTGTTCCACAATATTTTTTATAGGGGGAAAAATATACCTACAGGGGGAAAAAAAGCAATTTTTATTTTATTTTTTTTTTATTATTATTTTATGTTAATCCGATGATTTATTATGAATATGGCCGAAAACTGTTATACTGTTAACTAATATTAAGGTCTACACAAAATTGTAAAATTTTATTTTTTTATCGATTTTATGGTTAATATAATTTTCGAAATATTTATTAAAATTAAAATAATTAAAGATTAAAAATTAAAAATCAAAATGAAAATTATAATTTAATATGAGATTTTTTTTTTGCAAGACCATTTTTTTTTTTTCAAAAAAAAAAAAAATTAAAGAAAAAACAAGAAAATTAAAAATATTTATTGGAATTAAACTCATTTTCTTTTTTTATTTTTTTTTTTTTGTAAATTCAAAGTTAATGACAAACTCAATTCAAGAGGGGAAAGTTATATGTAATATTATAATTTTCATATAACAAATTTAATAAAATGTGTAATAGAAACAGATTTTAAATATTGTAATTATAATTATAGAAAAAGAAAAAATAAATAAATAAATATAAATATTAAATATTTTTATAAGAAATTGTAAAACAGGACTTCAAAAATATTTAAATTATTTATATTGTTCTATATAATTGTATGTGATTTTTGATAAAATTGTTCGAATTTAAAAATTAAATTAAAATAAAAATTTTTTAATCAGAAGTCAAACTCATTAGAATTAAGAATAAATCAAGCCCTCAATAAGTATAAGTCAAATTTTTTTTTTCAATTTTAATTTTCAAGACAATTAATTTAAAACGAAATGAGATTAAATGAATACAGTGAGCGGAAAATGTTAAGTCAAATTACTCTAAAAGTGAAGAATAACAAGAATACAACTTTCTTTATTCAAACCCGGATTACCCTAATTGTACGTAATTACTCTCCATGTGGGTAGATATAATATATTGATAGGCATATTGCGTTTGATTTAATAAAATTTTAAAATTTTGAAATTTGAGAAAAAATTCGCTATTTTCTGTATAATTAATTATAATACAGTAATTAAAAAATGCAACTTTCTTTAACCGTCCCAGACGTGAATTATTCTAATTGTACGTAATTACTATCCATGTGGGTAGATGTATATGATTTACAGGCATTATTTAGGTATATTTTGTTTAATTTTATAAAATTTTAAAATTTTTGAAATTTGAGAAAAAATTCGCTATTTTCTGAATAATTAATTATAATATAATAATTAAAGAATGCAACTTTCTTTAACCGTCCCAAAACCTGAATAACCTTAATTGTAAGTAATTACTCTTCATGTGGGTAGATATATATGATTGATATGTATTATTTAGGTATATTTTGTTTAATTTTATAAAATTTTAAAATGAATTTGAATTTGAAAAAAAAATTCGCTATTTTCTGAATAAGTATACATTTATTTTCAAAATTGATCTAATCATCTTGATGACGGAATTTTTAAATACTCGTATGGATTTCTTAAAATCAAAAGAAAATTATTCTTAAAATTGGCTAATCATCAACTTATTCTTTCTATTTTTATAACAATATCTATAATAATTGTATAATACAAATGCTCTCGGATTGAGAGTTGAGTTGTACAAAATATTTCTAAATAGAAGTTACATAAAATGAGGTTAATGTGGGCCTGAGACGCTTAAAGAAATTTGTAATATTGTTATTTTTCACTTTTATATAGTAATAACATTTTCGCTCACTAATTAATTTCTCAGAAGTAAATAATACTATCAATAGCTGAGACAGAAAACTACTCTATTAAGTAAGCCAAGCCAAGAGTTCGCTTTTGGATTATCTACAATAAAAATATAAATTAAGTAATTTTAATTGTTTGTATAATAAAATTAACAATCTTAACATAACAAAAACTGTACTTAGTTAGTCTCTTCTTTATTATTTTTGAGTCAAAGGAACATTGGAATTGGAACAAAAATTATATTTAATTTAAAATTAACTGTTATACTTCATTATTTTATTACTTATTTTAATTAATTTAAAATAATATTTGAAAATTTTTTTTTTTGAAGAAAAAATAAATTAATATAATTTTAAAGCCCTGTTTACAAAATCAATAAAACAAAAAAAAAAATTGAAAAATATTAATAAGTTGTGTAAATAGTAAATAAGTAACTTCCTTTGAATATTATACTTTTTTTTTTTAATAACTCAACTTCAGTGGAAATTAACAAAAATACAAATCAATCCTTCTTAAAGTTTTAAGATTATACTTAGAAAAAAAAAAACGGAAAGAAAAAATAAAAATTTTAATTTTTTTTTTGTTCCCATGCTACCATTTACCTATATTCGGTCAAATTTTTTAATAATCTATCCCAGTATTCTGAGCTATAAAAATAATAAAAAGAAAATTATAAATAAAGAGAACAGAAAAATAATTTTTTTTTTATATTTTTTTTTTTGTTTTAATTAAAAACGGCAACAATTCAAGATGAATTTTTCGTTCCTTTATTTATGAAATTTTTTACTATCCCCTATTGCTTTAAATGGTATTACTACAATAATTATGAATTTATGATCGTTGAAAAGACAAATTATTAGTGTAAACAGCATTATTGTTAATAATAGCGGCAACACTCTTAATAATATTAAATCTCAATTTTTAAATATTGATGCGACAATATTATGTGGTAATTAATTATTGACAAATTTTTCATTTTTAATGATAGCCACTATCGTCAAACAGTGATGATATTAGTCAAATTATTGAAAGAAAAAAAATAATAATAAAATCTTTAGAAACAAAAATTTTACTGTCCCGTTAGTGTTTTCGTTTCAATTACTAGTCAAATTAATTTGTTAAGAAAAAAAAAGTTGCTATATTTAAAAATTTCTAAAGTAAATCTAATCAGTAAAAAATTGTAATGGCTATTTTAAAATTATTTTCGTATTCCTGAAAAAATTAATTTTAATTAACAACAACAATTAAAATTTATTTAAACAAAAATTCTAAGGTTATCACGAGCTTTCAAATAATTTTTGTTTCTAGGACCAAAAACCTGTTAACAAAATAATATTTTCAATAAACTACTGACTAATCAAAAAATATTATCCGTCGTATATACTTAATAATATTATAGTTAATAAGAAACGATAAAATGTTAAAATTTTCCCTACTTAAATGAACAAATAATTTTCGATGTTGAAACATTAAAGTTATGAAAAGAATGTTGTAGATGAACTGGAATTCGGATATTTAAAGAATGTGAATAAAATATTCTTATACTGTTTATTGAAAAAGAAAAAAAACAAAAGAATAGAAAGTGTTTAAAACAATAGGGTTGTCTTTTACTATATTCTTCCTATAAAAATTAGATTTAAATGTTAAAGACTTTAATAGATTTGAATGGAACCATAAAGGTTATAAGTAAATTATAAGTAAATTTTGGTAAATAATAAAAATAACTTACCCAAATTTAAAATTATAATTTTTTGTTTTTTTTTTTTTTATATTTGTTAAATATTATTATTATTTTTTTAAAATCCTATACCTAAACAAAATATCAAAAGAATCTGAATTCTTTAAAAGCAAATTATTTATAATATAATATTAAAATAAAAAATGTATTTAAGAGATGGCAGAACTTTCATGTGTAATTGCAACAATACAAAAATTGTAAAAATTCTCAGAGCATTTTTATTACATTTATTGAATTCGCAAAACTATTTGTACTGCACGTACTCAAACATTATTCTATTTTATTGAAATGTAGAAAATTTTGTGGTATGACTGCATGAATTAAGAACATTTTATTCTCTTCTCAAATAAATATTTCTCTTTGAGTTAAATAGCTACAGTCAATTAACTACATTTACAATTAAATGATCTACACGATTAAATTTAATTAATACTATTTTAGAATTCTCTAAAGTTTTTTCAATTTGAATATTTACGTTTAAAATTTAGAAATACGATATACGAATATGGGTATGGTGATATTTAATGTATATAAATACAATTTAAGAGAAATTAATTACTGTTTTTAAAAAATTGTAAGAGAATTCAAATTTTCTTTGTTAAAAGTAAACCGAGACAGTAATTGATCACAATTATTTTATTTCTCTCTTGATTAACATTATTTATAAGACAATAAAAAGAGATTAAAATTGAATAAATCTGTTAACACATCTAAATTTTTTAATATAAAAGATTAAGAGAGTATTCAGAGATTTGGAGAACGTTTTGAGACCCGGAAGATTAATAAACAACTTTTGAGATTTTAAGCTTTACTATGACGTAAAACACAAGAGCACAAAATAGATTTTTGTATACTATTTGTCCATTTATGAATTCATTACCATTTTTTCCTAATTTGTTGTGAAATATTGCAAATATAAAAATGTTCTGCCATCGTGCTAAGAAATTTTGTATTTATTTTTTTTTTTCCACATTAAGCATAACAAAAATTTAATAGACCTAAAAAAAAAAATTATTTTGAAAAACAGTTTTTTATTGTTCAATAAACTAAAATAACACAAATATTATTCTTTTAACTTATTGGCTTCAAGTTAAGACTTTATTTTCCTCAAAATATTTAAAAAAGAAAAAGTAAAACTCAAAAAAAAAAAAAAATACTAAAATAAAAAATTAAAATTTAAAATTTTAAAAAAATCAAAAATTATATTAGTTAAGAAAAAAAAAAAATTATTATTTATTTTTTTTTTTTTTTGTTTTTCCAAATAAAAATAAAAAAAAATTTGTATATTTTTATATTCCATATTTTAAATAAATAATAAATATTTTTTTATTATTATTTATATTACTTTGTATATATATATATATATATGTATATATTATAAATATATATATATATATATATATATAAAATAAATATTTATGTTCAATATATATATATATATATAAAAAAAAATTTCAAAAAGTAAAAAAGAAAAACTTATACAAATTGTATAATAAAATACTTACGACGGAGGAGGACTTGGTAATGGTACTTGATGAATTTTCCATGTTGCCACGGATACTGAATGTTCATCAGCAGCATAACAACGCCATAATGATTGTATTAATGTTGCTGCCGGTTGCCTTCTTCTAATCATATGCTTTTGTCTTTGTTGTTGTTGAACTTTTAAAGCGAAACCACTACCTAAGATGCCCTATAAAATTAAAATTAAAAAATAATTTAATTCAATAATTTAATAATAAATCAAAATTATTCAAATGATAAAATCAATAAAAAAATTTTAATAAAAATTTTTCCAATACTCATAACTAGACCAGATACCGTATCAAATATTATTCAACGTAAATCTGCTGACAAGGAATCTATTAGACTGCAAGATTTTAAAAATATTTGAATTAAAAAAAGAGACCGAATTAGAATAGTATTTTGCATATTGAAGAGATAAACAGTTGTAATATGTAAATGTAAGAGAAATGTAAGATAAATATCTTGATAAATCTATAAAATGACTGATAAAACTATAAAATAAAAAAAATTAATATACGTGATGGATGTGTTAGACCAAACTTTAGAAGTAGTTTAATAAAATTTGACGTCATTAGTAAAAGATTAATAAATTAATTTTAACTTTATTTCTCCAATTTTTTTTCTAAATTCCTTCGAAATTCTGTAAAAAATTTCAAATCTTTCATGAGCAGAATTCAAGCCGTGCATCTACATATATTAAAATTTTATTAAAACACATAATAACTAGCACCGGAAGGCAATGATTTAAAATTTAAAAAACATTTTCCATATAATTATTTTTAATAAAATATTTCTCATATATCAAACATAAAGATCACAAACAACAAAAACCAAGTAAAAATACCGAAATATAGGCTAATATTAAAGTCATATACATAAGCGTATAGTAAAAACAACTCCCATTTTCCCAATAGAAATAACGTTCTTCTTATATAAATTAGATAAAAAGAATACAATTGAATACAGATAGATAGCTACTATATAAAGAAAAGAAAAAAAATAATTTCTCTATTTTTTCATTTTCGATTTCATTATAGGAACCATTATTTTAGTTTATCTCACCTTTAACACAGTAACACTGTAATAAGAAGCTATTATTGTATTAAAAATCGATATATATATAAGTACACATATATATAATATAAGCACATACATATTATAATAATCTCTTATGGATAATTTCATAGAATCCTGATTTATAACCAAAGAGCAAGGAACACAAAAAAAAAAAATAGTCATTGAAATGAGATATCCTTATAATATACAAACAAGTACCTATATATACGTATTATCCATATAATATAGACAGATAGATGGTCTAACATGAAAAATAGTTTTCCTTTTCATTTTCATTTTCCATATCTTGTATTCAAGAGAAATTATGACTCTACTACCTTTATATACCAATATAATATATAAGAGTAAAAAAATTTTCAGAAAGAAAAAAGGAAACCAGAATGACAAGAAGTAAAAAGAAAATTATTAAGAATTGAAAAAAAAAAAAAAAAACGAAAAACTCAAACTGAACTGAAAACAACTGCTAAGGAGATAAATCAAATTTAATTGAATTAGAGCTATACTATATCCAAGGATGAAGGATATCAAGAGAAAAAAAAAAGGCACAAATGTAGGAAAAAAAAAAATTAAAGATTTATGCTCGGTTTTATCATTTGAGTGGTTTGAAAATATTTCATGACATGAATTAATAAAATATTTTTTTTGGTATATTTACATAGATACCTATGTCATATACATAGGTATGTTGGTAAACCTACGCATATAAACATATTTCACATATTAAATAAATAAACATGTATAGGTAATCAAATAATGTATACCTATGTATAACCCAAGTAATTCAAGTTTGCTTGTCTAACAAATTCGTTATTCGACATACTAGAACAAAATTTTGATCAATATAAATTTTTCTAGTACAAGCCCTATGTCGTATTAGTTCGCCCACCTCGAAAATTTCTTAAAATAAAACGTGTGTTGGCTTCTTCTATTTATATTATGGGTGTTATTTAAAGAAATTATAATATTCCGGATCGTAGAACGGTGTACTTAATCAAAATTATATTTTATAAAATAATGCATACTTTTAGGGGTTGTATATTATAAAATTATAATTGTTGTTTTAAAATATTTAAACGTGTGCCATCATTATTAGAATTTTATCTGGAAATTTTTAATATACAAGTTTTATATTGCAATCCATTTTTGATCTAAATTTTTAAGGATAAATTTTCTAGTATGGCAATATTAAATTTATTTTCTAGTTGTATAAGTTATATATACTGTTATATATAATATAAGAAATCTTTTCATATTACAACAATGAGTAATGAGTAACAAGTATACTCATTAAAACATAATACCATTTTGAATTTTGGATTATAACTTTACTTTTATTGTGATTGTTTAGTAAGTACTTGCAGTCTTTGTTCGCTTTCTCTCACAAAAGAAAAGGTACTATCGTGTATACTTAAAAGAAATTTTTCTATACAGGATTTTAAACAAAGACTCAATTATCGATTGTTTTGGTGTTAAAAAAAAAACATTTTGTCCCGAGTGAATTCAAAAGGATTCTTCAAAAACAATATTTTTTTTCATTTTCTAATAACTTATTTTTATGAGTAGGTACTGAAAACTATAGGGCAATTGAAAAGTCTCAAACCAAAACAAAATGAATGAAAACTAAAAGGTTCGTATATACCTTTATATTTTTATGAAATATTACAAGTTTCTATAGAAAACAAACAACGAGAAATTAAAATGACCACTTTGGCATTTTCCTTTTGTGATGATAGTTATGAAAAGCAGTTGATTTCTTTTGATTAATAAAGATAATAAAAGGGAAATTCTTCTATTGTTTCATATTTCAAAAAAAAAACCTCAAATAGAAAAATATTTTTTAACTTAATAATTATGACGAGAGGATAAGGATAAGAGGATATTAAAAAAATAAAATGGTTTTGTTTTCGTTCCAGTTCCCCAATTTGTTATAGGTAAGTCAATAAGTAAAATGTGAAATTTTATTTCATTTTTGAACCAGAACTCAATTGTAACTTTCTTTTTCTATAAAATCAAATAATTAAAATCTAAAAATGTATTTGTGTTTTTAATATAGGCAAATTTTTAATTAATAATTATTAATTGTAAAATATTGCTAGTTTTAGGTAATTAAGTGTTAAAACATTGTTGAAACGAGTTGTCGAATTTTGTTAATGGCTAAATTAAATGAAGTTGGAATTATTAACAAAAGTTTCAAGTACATGAATAAATTATGCTTCAATAAACGAAATGTTCTTACAGCGGAAACTCCAAAAAAATTTTTGTCGGCTATTTAATTTTACATGAAAACTTCGAAAACCAATAAAATTTCCGCTGAATTTAAATGTTGTTTAAAAAATATAATTCACGTTCCTGCAATTACTAGCCTTTACGCTAAAAAATACAGTCGTACTCAGCTATTTTACGCCTTTCCGTTATTTGTTTAAAGTTTTCATTCTTTTATTTTCATACTGTGCCATTAACTCTCACAGTGAAAAATAAAGGGTACAATTTTATTAAAAAGAAAGTAGGTAATGAAGTATAAAAGTTTCATTATACTTTAAACATTGAAAACTTGAGGATTCAAGTCTATTATTGACTACTTCTTAAAATTTTGAAGCGTAAGTGTTATTTTTCAAATTAAAATGTTTAATAATTCGAAATTTTTATTTTCATTTTTGGATATTTTTCATAATTCAAATCCATTTTTTATTCCATTAAATTCTTTTACATTATATGATCAATACAATAATTTCTCCTAAATATATGCACGTCATTATTCTAATATTAGTAAAGTCTGTAATTGTAATGATAAGTTTAGAAAAAGTAAAGTCACTGCCATGAGATTTAAATTATGCAATATTTTAAGGTTTAACCAGACTAATTATTTAATTAATAATTGAGAAAAAGGCAAATAATCAGCCTAATATGTTGCAATATTGAACCGCAAGGGGTTTGTTATAATTATTAATATTATTTGAATTAGGTAGACTTTTTTTTAAAAAACGCAATAATTTTAATATGCACAGCGGTCGGATAATGTTGATTAATTAGTATATTAATTATATTTTATATGAAACTAAAATTTAATGTAAGACCTTGAGTATGCCTCGCCTAAATGTATGCAATTAATTTAATTTTTATAGTATGACTCGTATGACATAAAATGACCTTTTGTTTGATATTATTTTTTTTGGTTATTTTTTTTTTGTTTATATGATTATAGAAATAGTAATAGCAGTAAAAATATTGTCAAGCATGAGAATCTCTTAACAGCGACAAACCATCATTAAACGTGTGACATGAAAAACGCAAAATATCCACGATTATTTAAAAAACGAGGAAACTTTTTACGATTTTAAATTCCTTGGCATTTGAAACACGAATAATTCTATTCAATTTTTTAAAGTTTTACAAGTAAATCCAAATATCGTAAATGTAAAATGGCAAGAAAAAATTTAGAAAAACCAATTTTAAAATAAAATTTAATTAAAAAATTGTTTTTTTGCCTACTTAACAAATAAAAATGGAAAATTCTTATTAAAAAAATTTATTTTTCATTTTACTTACCGCTGGCAAGGCAAAAAATGAAATTCCTAAAAGTGCACAAAAAGATGCTATTAATTTACCCTGCCACGTTTCTGGAACCATATCACCATAACCTACTGTACATAGTGTTATCTAAATAAGAGATTTGAAAAAAAAAAAGAAAAATTCAAAGAAATAAAATTATTCCTCTAAAAGTCTAAATAAATATTCATAAAATAATAAACAAATAAAAATGGAGGAAAACAAAAAACAAAATGTAAGAGAAATTCTTTAAAAAATTTCAAAATGTTATTTAAAACTTACACCATGCAACATGTAAATATAAAAACTTACCACACCCCACCAGAGGGCTTGAGCAAAATTACTAAATTTATCATTGACATCTTTTTCCATTAAATAAACGAGAAAAGATGCAAATATAAGGCCAAGGAAACCTATGTACATAGTTGTTATCAGTTCCTGTAAATAAAATGTAAAATTATTTCTGTTATATTATTGTTCTTATTAAAAAATAAACAAAAATTATTCTTGTAAATTAAATGTTTTATGTTAAACGTCTTGCGGCATTAGTATACAAAATGGTTGATGTAAGAAATTCGCCTAATAGGAATTTTACATCTATTTAATTGTAATTTGATAGTATCTTAGAAATACTTGAGATTTAGTGTATTTCATAAGATGGTATGAAGTTCATACTCCTTACTTACGTAGGTAATGAAAAATTTTCAGTAAATAAGTACCTATTTTGAATTATAGATTTAATGGATTTGATTAGTTTATCGTTAAGGAATTGTTGGTTCACAAAAATGATTGTTCCAGAAATTACAACTATTCCAAGTACCTCATACATTACATAAGTTAAAGTTTACTGTCATTACCAATACCAATGAGTCCCGTTTCATTCAGACATTAGAAAATTTACTAAAAATTTACAATGGAGTTTATTTTTTCTTTCACATCACATAGCTTACAGGCATAAAAGTAATTTTCAAAAATTTGGGACACTATGCGATTAAAAAACAAAATTAATAAAAACGAGAAAAAAAATAGAGTTGACCTTGTCAACTCTGTGATACCCGTACGAATTTGTTATCCTATGTGCGAATAACTAATGTTCCATAACTAACTATGGGGCAGACTATGACTTTAAGTTGCCGTATTACCATACTAATTTATGCAAAATTTCAGTACTATGTGTTATTCAAAATACTGGTTGTGCCAACTACTATTGATGTTGTATGGCACCTACCAGAAAGAGCCAAGAAATTTTGGCGAATTTTATCAAGCATATCGGCCCTACTAATATATTCACTTGTGTGAAATCTCAATATCACAGCTTTTATAGTTTCTGAGATATAGCCAAATAACTTTTGAAGTTGTATGGCAGGTACCAGAAGGAGCCAAGTAATTTCAACGACTTTTACGAGACACATCGGCCCTACTAATATATTTACTTGTGTGAAATCTCAATATCACAGCTTTTATAGTTTCTGAGATATAGCCAAATAACTTTTGAAGTTGTATGGCAGGTACCAGAAGGAGCCAAGTAATTTCAACGACTTTTACGAGACACATCGGCCCTACTCATATATTTACTTGTGTGAAATCTCAATATCACAGCTTTTATAGTTTCTGAGATATAGCCAAATAACTTTTGAAGTTGTATGGCAGGTACCAGAAGGAGCCAAGTAATTTCAACGACTTTTATCTGACACATTGGCTCTACTAATATATTCGTTTGTGTGAAATTTCAATACCATAACTTTTATAGTTTCTGAGATATAGCCAAATAAATTTTGAAGTTGTATGGCAGCTACCCGAACCGGTACCCCGATCATGTCCAATTTAAATAGGGTTCTGGCACTTACTACAATAAATCATTTGTGAAAATTTGGTGAACTTAGCTCAATTAGTTTTTGAGTTATCGTTCGGACGGACGGACGGACGGACAGACAAAGCTAAATCAACTCAGAATTTGACGCTGATCAAAAACATACACTTGAGTCTATATCTAACACCGTTATTTCTTAGCGTTACAAACGGTAAGGCAAATTTAGTATACCCTTCGAACATACGTTCGTACGGGTATAAAAAATTTATTAGTTATAGTGATAAATTTTTAGTATTTTATTAAATTACAGTATGGGCCTATCTATTGTAACAAAAAATTTTTAATTCGTATTGGATTTTAATGTTCAGATTTTAAGAGAGAACTTTTCATATACGCTCTCTTACTTCATAGGTATTGCAGCTTGAGGAAGACTATAAATAATCTAAGCAATAAAGTTTCTACAGTTTCGGCCTATTATACTGAAATTGGAAATTATGAGATTTACTGAAATTCAAAGTAATATTATTAATTTGAATAATCCGATATTTGTCGAAACTAACAATAGTAATTATGGTTAAGCTCCTACAGCTTTTTTGTTGATTCAGAATACATCACAGATGAAGAATATATAACAGCTTTAAAATAACAGTAATGCTGTTTTCTACACAATTTTATTTTAAAATCATGACTTGTGTTTTATAAAACCATATTCAACCATACATACACCTCATTTTCATGATCATTAAATGCACGTATAAATCTACCTAGAATCAGTGACGGATCTATCATATATGCAATATAAGCATATGTTTATTGCCTATTGTTTCCTGCTTTGAAAAAGGAGGGGTGCAGTTTTGAAAACCACGTAGGGCTCTGAAAGGGATAGAACCATGCCTGCCTAGAATACCTACATATATACCTTGACGAAATATTCAAATTATATTTGACATTAAATAAAATGTTTATAGGACTTTGTATTTCTGAAAGAATGAAATTATTTTAGAACAATAATAAAAATAAGCAAACCAAATTATTTTTCTTTAGAAATTTTCCTTGTTATTTTGTACACATAAAAAATAATAAAATGAAAAAAAAAAATTTAAATGTTTTAAAAACGACTGCTTTCTTCAAAATCTGTCAAGGATATTGTCCTTGTATTGTATTTTACTCGTATACAAAATATAAAATTCTGATATTTAAAGTTTTCTTATTAAAAATTTAAATACTTTCTATATAATTCCATTTTCTTAAACTAGTTACAATGTAAGCACGTTTCCGCATAAAATTTCATTATACATAGAAAAACAATATGAAAATATTTACACGAGTTTTAAATTTATAATTGGATATAATGGATCAAGTAGAATATTAAAAAAAAAAAATTAAATTTAAATACAAGGAAAATAAATTTTAAATTTATTAAAAATTAAATTGAAAATTTCTGTAAGAATACCTACTTCACGTCCATTAATTGGAATCAATTTAAAGTATAACAAATCAATTAAGTTTAAAAATACAAAAATTAAATTTAAATTATGTCTGTAAAGTAAACAACAACTCTCTAGCATTAGCATAAATCTTTTATAAAAAAAAAATATTTTTTTTATTTATAAAAAAAATTAATAAAAACATACTTGTCTATGAGCATATACAACACTTCCTAATAATTTCCATGTTCCACCACGTCGATCCATTCGTACCATTCTCAAAATTTGAAAAAATCTAAGGCCACGTAAAGCACTCGTAGCAAATACTTGACCAGATGTGCCCATACCTAATACTACTAATGATGCTGCTATTGTAACTACATCTATAATATAAATTTGGTATAATTAAATTTTAATTTAAAATTTATATTATTTTTTCATTATTAATAATTATTTATAAAAATAGATGTTAAATAGATAATTAAATAATTTTTTTATACTTTACCTATAATACAAAATGGCCGCTTTAAAAATTTCAGTCGGCCCACAGCGCCTTGGTAACGAGATCGACATCCCGATGACCATAGTCTGTAAAAAGAGATAACAAATATTTTAAATATTTATTAAAAATTTTAATTTATTTTCTAAATTAATTTAAATTTTAATAAGATTATCGTAATATTAGCTCTCTATCTGAAAAATAATGAAAATAATAAATGAATGGAAAGGCTGTTTTATAGCAAAATGGAGAATGCACTGTTTCTTTCAAAGAAATCAAAAGTATTCCCACTCACTGTTTAACTAATACATTTTTAATATCCTTGATATTTTTATTAAGGTTTGGGTTTTGGTTTAAATTAACGTGGGTATCGCAAGGTACACATACGCCGTTGTAAGGCGCGTTGTGATCCCGTCGATCTTTTCAAAATTTTTAAACAATTCTTTCAAAAGAAAATTTTATTGAATAAGATTTTAACTATATGGTGTAAATTTTAAATTATTTACAAAAAAAACTCACTTGCATTCACAATTTTAATTAAAATCACTTATAATTATAAATTATGGCAGAATTTTCGAATTACAAATTTAAATTTATTTATTCTTACACGTTCATATAATTTTCATTTAATAATATTTAAACAAAAGTAATTCAAAATTAAATAAATTAAATTTATCAGAAAAATTTCTAAGGATTCAAAATATTCACAAAATAATTTCTAAATAAAATTCACAATATTTTATTTCATAAAACACACATACACATTATGTAGCTATTATATAAAAAGTTTTGTTGCTTGGAATCAAAAAAGCACAATACTAATGTACAAAATTCCCGTATTTAATTATTTTTAAAAGTTTAAAATAGTTGATATTTAAATAGTATTTATAATTTTTAAATATTAGAAAGAAACTTTCGCTTATATACAGAAATATTTTAAATAATTCCCAGAATGGTTTCAATTGTATTCTATACCGCACAATTCTACGTTTTATTATAAAATACTCTGAATTTTTTATTAGGTACAGAGCACCACAATTATATGTTAAGGTATACTTAGGTATACCACCATAATTATCTGAAATCTGTATGTTAACATTACCGAAATTAAAATTTTTTGTTTATAACTATAAAAAAATATTGTAAGATAATCCAAAATGATTTTCATTTTGTTTTTATTTTGAACTTTTAAAATAATAATAAAAAAATATGATATTTAATGGTTTGATTGGATCTTACTATAAGGTATACCTTTATATTTATGGAGACTATATACATAACATAGGTATAAACCATCTTGAGGTCCAAATATTTATACAGCATATAATATAACTTTAATGTTTCGGAAAACCATGCAGGAAAATGAAATTTAAATTTTGATTGAAATTAAAGACCTAACTTGGGAAATTATTTACCAATTTGATATTCCTGAACGGAAGCATATCAGTACAATAATTCTAACAATAATTCTGACTTACAAATTTCTGACAATAATTTTATTATACAGAACACTGTCAAATTTTATGACTTGTTTTTTTAATGTTATAAATATCCTAAGAACTTCATCACATACCGAATAATCACTCTTTACTCTAAGACCATTAAAAACAACAATTATTTTAAAACAAATTCAGGTATTAAAAAAACGAACGTAGGTAAAACATAGTTTTTAAATTGTAGGAAAAAAAACTAAACTATGTTGGGTCTAAATTTGAATGAACAATCTAAATATTGCTTTTATAAACACACACACGAATTAGTTTTTTTTTTAATTAAAATAAACAAAAAATAAAACACACAATTTTTAAATATCTAGGTGAATTACAAATGTCATGACATTCTCTTTCACTAAAATTATGTAGCGCATTTGACACAATCATGTTCTTTGTTTTATAGTTTAAGAAACCATAATATATAAAATAATTTGTACAGTAGAATCTAAATAATTTGATTGTATTTGACTAAAATATTATATATATAGCCTCACATTTACCATTATGCCATTGATATATTGCGCGTCCTTTAATACTGAGACAGAGTACCAGAGACAGGATAGAGCGATTATGTCCGATATAGCTGAAATAGTGTTGGAGCGCTAAGCTTATACTCGATCACCTTCAAAGTAATGTTGAGCAAGTATAGTTGGGCAGGCACAACTGATTTATTTTGTGCTGGATGCTAGAGCGCATTGGAATAGAAGACAATTATGAACAAGATGAGTTGCTATATTAGAAAAAGGAGAAATGAGAAAACACGTTCGGGTTTCGGAATAGTTATTTTCATATAAAAATCAAATTATGAAATTTTGAAATTACAAAAACAGTATCGGGCGCATATTTTCATCCATGATAATTGAAATCCAAAGAGTTATTAAATCTAACTAGGTTTCTACTGTGCATTCTCTGCAATCTTTATCAAATTCTTCATAATAAGCGTTTTATATTTTCATTACTCTTTTAATGAATTTCACTTTGTTTCTTTTGTCTAAGGATATTTTTTATTGAGTGTATATGTGTACTTGTAAATATTTAGAACATAATGACGATGAAAAAATTTCAGTTTTTATGTAAGAGAAAAAAAATTTTAAAGTATATTTTATCACGACATTTTTCCGGATGCCTCCACAGGCACTAAACATATAGTTTAAAATTTTACATTATGTTCCAGTCATCGCTGTTGGTTTTTTCTTTACTCATGTACACTATAATGTTAACATAATCCTTTAACTATTTTATATTTTTCTATTATGTATTTGTATAGTATCTTACATTGTACATTATTTTATGAAAACAAATCCGAGAGAAACTGAAAACTGAAAGACAATATTTTATGTACAGAATTTTATGTTAAAACCCTAGTAATACATGGGTTTTTTGGTTTTAAATAAAACATTATTAAAAAATTGTACTTAAATTTTTTTTTTCATTTATGTATAAGAAATCTTAAGTAGGTGGTATACAATAAATTAATAATTCAATAGTACTATAGAAAGTTCGAGAACAAGAACAGTTTAATTACACACTCATATTGAAGTACAATGGATGGCAATATATTTGGAATTACTAAATGCCGCAACAATAATGGAATTTATGCGTAACTATTGTAATATTGAAGAGCTTCTTATGGCATAAGTATAAAATTTACATTTTAAGTTTCTCATAAATAATTTTTCCAAAATCGATCTGATGGGAACTTAATATGCAGCTTCTAAAACAGTTTAATCCTAAAATTTATAGTTGAATTTTCAAAAAAATTCTAATATTTAAAATAATTAATTAAAATTTTAAGTTTGGGATTGAATATTGTGCGGATTGAATTATAAGAGAGAGCTATACACTGTAATCTAGGAAGCGTACGTATTATGTTCCTAACCCAGTTATTACACCTAAAGCACTCCTTGACATCTATTCGCCTTACAAATTCAAATATCTTGCAGTATTCGACGGTCTTTAGAGACTTCTTTCACGTTGTGATTTAACTTTTATTTTCCTCGAAAGCGTGTGTCAAAATCCTCTCTCCCTAATTCGTAAGTTAGCTTTTGAGTGAACAGTGTTTAGCTTCGGTATATTGTACAGAATATGGGTAGATATACATCACAATAGATTGCAACTATTTATTTACATAGTTTTTTCATTTTATTCAGGAATTTATAAATCTTTTATGTCAACTTCCAACTGTATGAGAAAAACAAAACAATGTCATCATTTTACAGTTACATTTTATATTTTTTTCTTAACATATTTTTATCATTATAATATTTTATAATATTAGACAACTCTCATGTTATTATCAACAACATACGGCTATAGAAAAACACTCAGATTTATATTTTTTGCCTATAGGTATCTTAAAATGTACGCGCACATACACACACCCTGAAACGAAAGGATTATGTTGACAGGAAAACTATTTAAAAATTTTTCAAAATAAAAACTATAAATAAGGAAAAGTATAAATACAATGAAAAGGGGCGAGGTTTGAAAATGAAACTCTCTGAAGAAAAATTTGTTTTTCGATTTAAATGAGTAGTAGTAACAGAATAACATAGATGGAAGGCAGGTATTAACCATATGTTAAATGCTCCTTTATTCTTCTTAAATTTTTCGTTGAATTTAATATGGGAGAAAAATTTTTTATTTTCTAATTAAGTGAAGCCATGTGAATTTTATAAATTTTAAATTAATATAAAAGTGTATATGTTTCATTAAGCTTTCATCCAATATGAATACAAGTCCTTATTTTTTAGAACATAAATTTTTAATGAAGATCAAAATGAATGTTTAATCTTAATCTCGCATATTTTTAAGCACAATATTATTTTTAAAATTTTTATTATCAAAAGAACAAGTGGGAAAAGATTTTGTTTTTCCTGAATAATATTTTCTTATCCCGATCCCGAAAATCCCGATTAATCAGTAACTGTGGGTTAAACGAATGGACTGTATACGAAATCATAAAAATGTCTCTTGCTCTTCTCCATTAAGATTTACATAATTTTCGAATTCCGTTGGTTCGTGTCTCAGCTAAAAAAAAAATTATTTATTAATTTTAAGCAAAACAGTCACTTCCAAAAATTTCAGTTGAAAATTTCTGAAATTAAAATAACTATGCCGAATTTTCTTCATTGAAATGTTTAGTTCCTATTTTCCTTGAAAAACATAAGAGTTTTTTAAAATCATGACTTTTCATTTACATGAACACGCCCTTGAAAATTTACAAATTTTAGTTTCTAAAGCACAAATTATAATTTGAATAACTTGTGGCTTCGTTTGTTATATCGCGGTTATTAAAGTGTCGTAGAAGAACGCAGATATAAGTAATAAATTCGATATAAACTTAAATACAATTCCCCCTCTTTGGTTTACACAAACATACGTACATACATTTTGACCACCAGCCTAGAACGCCCTTTGTGTCATATACTACATACACACATACATTTATAATACACTTTAAATTTTCATATTTAATATTTTTGTTTATTTTAATAATAACTTTTCGCTTTCAAATAATTTTATTTGGCTTTGTTTTTATACTCTGTTTCTTCCTTTACCGTTTTCCTTATAAAAATTTCTCTTGCTTTTTAATT